TGCCAAGGTATACCAGCTACTTCCATGTCATAAAGGCTTAGTCATGTCTCTTGACCAAGCAATGAGCTGGTGCCCTGACAGGGGACAAGGTATGGCTCAATGCCAAAGACATCAAAACAAAATGACCAGCAAAGAAATTGGATGACAAATGGTTCAGACCATTCATGATCACATGTAAAATCAATGACAATGCATACAAGATTGAACTTCCAGATTTGTGGCAACTATACCCAGTATTCAACATTTCCAAATTATGACCCTATCATGACAGTGACATACCTGGATGTAAAGAAACACCACCTCTGCCACCTGAACTGGATGCAGATGGTGAAAATGTTTGGGAAGTCAAATGGATTGAGGACAGTCATCCACAAAAGAATGGCCAATTTGAATACCTTGTCAAATGGAAAGGCTCCTTGAACATGGAAAACACATGGGAACCACCCAGAAACCCTGAAGGCACACAACAAGCAATCTGCGACTTTCACTGATGACACCCAGGGGCACCAAAATGAATTGCATGTATGGATTTTGATCAGCTATGATTCGGACAACTCAAAAACTACACTGAAACAAACCAAGTCCTCTTTGATTGGATGGATGGGCAATGCCCTGGTTGATCACATAACATGTCATTGTGGACAATGACCCTTAAGATGGGGGTGATGTCAGGGGATGTCCCTAAAGTCAATTGCAAACAACTGTAATTGACAACAATCAGAGCACAGTCACATGGCATGACACCCCAAATGACAGCCAATACTATGATCACCCAACTCCAGGAAGGACAGATCTCAGAATGTGAGACATCAGTCATAGATTGTGCAGGACTGACCAGACAAGAGACATAAGGTGCCTGCCCTAAGCAAGCTGTATAGTCAGCCATGGACTTTGCTTCCTTTTTACTTCCATACCTAGACATATATAGAACCCTAGGTATAGCCTCTGCAGCTCTTTAGAGCTAATCTCATAGGAACCCCATGGTCCAAGGTCATAAGGTTCTAAACATGAAGCTTTAATTGTTCCGAACATGCACATGACACACACACAATCATGCCTGTTGGCTGCCAATCCCTACTTACTCTATAACACCCCTGTCAATCACTCCGTTTGTGAACAAAAGTCAAGGTATTGATTGATGTATGACTCACTACTCTCTGCTTTGCTTGTTGCCTGTTATGTTATTCAATCATCAATGATTGTTGGATTGTGTTGCCCTCACAGTCATATAGAGCCACTTCAAGCAAATGCTGCCACTGTGCACACAATCATCAACTTTTTGTTGGCAAGAAACCATGCTTACAAATGTTCCACAATTGACTTCCCCAACAGACCTGCACAATTTTCTCCCCAGAATCTTCAGCCATTTGAGTCACCCAATATACTTTGCACATCAGTGTCTTTGGATATTCCATACATGGAGGCTGGTCATGTCTCTGTTGATGAAGGTCAGACAGCATTGGAATCAGACATGTCAAACTGTGTGCAGTTTGGCAACTCTGAGATCAATCCAAACACTTTTTTTTGGAGGCTTGTGGTTATATGTTGGAAGATTGCAGTACTGGGGCATACACCATGATGAAGGCTGAAGCCCTTGCACATTGTCTCAATGATCAGAGGCCCTTCCTTCTTTGTCAGTCAGGATCACATCCTGTGTATGATCTGCAGAATGAGTACACACTATCTTGGATATTTCCACATCTCAACCCTTTCAGGCTAGGCAGTTTTGATGATGCCCCGTCGCCGGAAGCCCATGTCAATGGTGTGGCAGTTGGTGCATATGCTGCACATGGCAGACTGGCAGTATCAAGAAGACCCTTGTTTTGCCTTCATGTTCCATAACATTCTGCAGAAGAGAGAATCTTTGCATGAAGTTTGTTTTTGCATTCCTGAGGGTCTGTGAGGGCACACTATAATTGATAGAGGCTGCCCAGATGTAGTAGAGATTGAAGTCAGGTGGAGAGAGGAAGTTGTTGTTGAGGGGTGGGGATAAGGTGCTGATGAGGTGACAGAGGTATATTCTGCAGAGTACTATCCCTATCAAAGTACAGTGGAGATTCCTCAGAGACCATATCTGAGGATATCATCATCTAAACAGGTGGGTATTTATACTAAAGAGAAGGAGAAAAATGTCTAGTCATTGTGAGTTATGGCCAGTCATCTCTGGCCAGTTGTGGTGAGTCATAGGCCTTGTTGCTATGAGTCACTGGCTGGTGGCTAGTCATTGGCTGTCATGCTGCACAATGCCACATGGTCCTACCACAGCCAGGCCACAGGCCACACAGCACTGGCATAGCCGGTGTCAGGTTGACGCAGCATGAGTAATCATGCCTGAGTAAGCTGTAGTCAAAGCAAATTAGACTTCCCCTGACAGGGTTGTCATGAGCACATAGTTGAACAACTGCAGGCCATCACCCCTGAGTTGCTGACCAACTATGCACATAGGATGAAGTCCAATCTGAGGGCAGTACCAAGTTCACTGGAAGAGGTGCTTGCAGCACGGGTCCTTCAGCATGTGCATATGATGCACAGAGGTGTCCCTGGTCCTGATGCATACAAAAAAGCATGAAGAAGCAAGATTTGTTCTCTTATCTACCAACTAGGGAGCCCTGTGTTCTTTATAACAATAACACCCTGTGACATGGACGGTTCTCTCTGCCAATTGGCAATCAAAGGCATCAACAGTTATGGTGTGTTGAGTATGGGAACTACTCCACATAGCCAGTTCAACAGAGCTATGGGCATAGCTCATAATCCAGCTGTGGCTGCATCTGTGTTCCATCACACCATGGTATGGTTTTGCAACATCATCTTGCACATAGGCAAAGGGCCCGGGCTTTTTGGAAACTGTACTGGCTGGTATGGTATGGTTGAGGCACAAGGTCACAGTATGCTGCATTGTCATATGTTTATATGGGTGGAAGGCAATCCTACACTCCACATGCTGCGCAAAATGATGTTGACCAATTCCAACTTCCAGGAACGTATGATCCAATGGCTCAAACACATTATCCACACTGAGCTGCCCAGACAAACAGAGGTAGTTCCTGAGCCCAATGGACCAGTGTTGCCCCCAAAGCTCAACGTCAATGCAGTTGACCCTTGGACTATGGCAATACCAGATCTTTCACAGTGCACAGAATGGTCCACAATGTTTTGTGACTGTGTACACACTTTGGTTGAATGGAATAATTGGCACGTACATTGAGCAACCTGTTGGATACATCTTAGGCCTGGAGAAGAACATGTGGATGAGAAATGTAGGATGCACATTGACAGTACTAGGCACACAGAATCCATTGTTGATCCAGAGACTGGCTCAATTCTACTCTGCCCGTTGCACCCACAAATAAGTGAATGCAACAATGTGATGATGTTCCTCCTGGCTTGTAATATGGATATTCAATACCTCATATCTGGAGAATCATCAAAGGCAGCATTGTACTATATTACTGACTATATCACAAAGACTTCACTGAAGGTTCATGTCAGCATGACTGTGCTAGTGTATGCATTGCAAAGGATCAGGAAATATGCACAAAGTCCGGATCCTTTGAGCTCTGCAGTTAGCAAGAGTTTTATCATGAAAATGCTAAACAGCATTATGGCTTGGCAGGAAATGTCTCACCAGCAGATCATGAGCTATTATGTGGGTGGAGGCAATTGCTACACTGAGCATTGCTTTGTCAGGTTGAATTGGAACCTTTTTTCAGCAAAGGTGAAGGAATGGGAAGAAACTTCTGAAGACTGTGTGCATGACTGCGCATCAGATGATGAAAGTGAACAAAGTGATGCAGGTTTTTCAGACACTAGCAAAGACAATGATGATGAACATTTTGATAACAGATGTTCAACCATGCAGTTAAACACAGACGCTGCGCACATAACAGCTGGCAGCCAGTTTTAGGACTATGTGCATTGTCCCTTACATCCCACTTTCAGTTGTCTTTGTCCATACAATTTCATGTCACATGTGGAGAAGGAAACACTGTCCAGACCAAATCAATGCACACCATCCAGATTGTCATCACTTTGTACAGCGGCACCTCATGGCAAGTTCACTACTGATCATCCCCAAAGCCATATGCATCATGCAAGGATTTAGACTTCCTGGATTGTGCCAGATATTTGTGGTGTTTCCCTTCCCAAGTGAGATGTTAGTGGAGTGTTGAACAAAGCATGGTGCAGAGCAATGATGATCTTGTTTATGCCTTGGCAGACTTACAAAGATTTATGGTCCAGTGGCAACACATGGAGTGCTCAATTCTGCGCAGCCAACCTTGACAATGTGCACCATCAAATCATGAATAATATTGATGTGTTGCACCAATCCAAAGAGGCAAGAGATTCTGACCTTTGTTTGAAGCAAAGATGCCACAAGAGGGCAACGGTGTGCACAGCTGAATTTGATGCAATGGCAATGGAGTTTGTGCATCAACAACTTGAGCACAATCTGCCCAACTTTCTGCATGCTCAGTCTGTTGAGGTTGATGATGTGTTGTTTATGCCCAATCTGGAATCTGTGCAGTGGGTGCTCTCATGCAGATGAGGTGAACAGGTGCTAGAGTGTCTACATTCACTCCAGTGTGCACAGTGTCCCAGTTGGTGGGGATCATTTTGAGGACAACCAGTCTATTGTTTGAACTGTGCACATAGAGGATGAGGCTATGTTTTGAGCATATGCAGCCAAGCTTCATTTGTGGAAGCAAGAGAAAAATGTGAAAACCCCCTTGAAGTCAGCTACTGTGCAGGCAGCCTGCCATTTGGACATGTTGTTTGCCACCATCCTGAATGAGCCAGCAAATCATAGTGCCAGTCAACACAATGCTGAATTGCCTCTGCCTCACAATGTTGTGCAATCTATTCTGTGCACTGTTGTTCAGGAGCAGAATCTGGGCTCTAACAAGGAGCAGCTGAAAGTCATGCACATAGTCTCTTTGCACTTGACAATTTCTTATCACCAGCAGCTCATGATGTACATTGGAGGTTGTGCAACTGGAAAGAGCCATGTGATTTGTTCCATCAAACTGTTCTTTTCCAGGCTCAGCATTTGTGACAGCCTCTTACTTAGCACTCTGACTGGTGCTGCAGCTGTTGTTATCAGAGAATATACTATCCATGCCCTCATGCTACTCCCTACTCCTTGTGGTGCTACTGTGCAAGCAACTGATCTGGAGCCCATATAGAAGGATATTTGTTGGTTAGTGATTGATGAGATATCTATGGTATCTGCACATTTTTTTGGGCCAGGTATCTCAACACATATCAATGGGCAAGCAGACCATGGACTCCATTCCGTTTGGTGGTGTCAATGTGTTGTATACAGGCAATTTTGGTCAACTTAAACCTCTTTGGTATGCTCCTCTGTACAGCTACAAGTTGGTCAACAAAATTCAAGGTCAGATGGCAAACTCTGCACAAGGTCAACAAGAACTCACCAGTGTGTTATTTTGGCATCAGCTCACTGAGTCCATGATACTCCGAAGAAATGTGCATCAAGCTGAGGATCTGTGATGGGCAGCACTACTTCTCTGTGTCCATGACAGACAGACATGGGAGCCCACAATCAGTTGCCACGATGTGCACAGTCTGCCGCACCTAGTGTATGACTCCTCTGACACAGATGTGCTATGTCATTGATTATTGGGCTGCATTGAAGAAGAAAATCCAGCAGAAGCCCACTTGTTTCTCAATGCTCCATTCATTGTATGCACAAAGGACATCTGCAACACCATGAATTTGTTTCTGGACAGAAGACATGCCAACATTTTGCACACCATATGCCATTTGTACTATAGTCAAGACTATTTGGGCACACAGCCGGTAGTGGGATGACTGCAACACATGCTTTGGATGCTACCATCAAACTGCACAGATGATGTGCTTGGTTTTACCCCTATGTTCATTGGCATGAAAGTTATCATTACGGAGAACCTTGCACTGTCTTGCAGCCTGGTGAATGGTGTGACTGGCACAGTGGCAGGAATCTGGTACCAACTTGATGAAGAGGGTCATCATCATGCAAAAGCTGTGTTTATCGATGTGAATGGTTGCAATTCTGTGCAGAGTGGACTACCCCCAAATATGGTATGCATACAACCTGGAGAATGTCAATTCAAGTACAATGCAACAAATCCTAATGGATCACTATCAGAGTATGCAATTTGGCAAGAGTATTTGCCTATTCTTCCTGCTTATGCATACACAGACTACAAGAGTCAAGGATGTTCACTGGACTGCACTGTTATTGACATGGCTGGCTGCTGCTCACCACAGAGTGCATACATTATGCTGTCTCAAGTCCAATGGCTTGAAGGACTTGCAATACTGCACCCCTTCAATCTGAAACCAATTGAAACAAGTCTGCCCTCAGATGTGCACAAGGAGATTGAATGACTTCAGACACTGTCTCTAGACACTGCACAGTGTTTCCCTCCTAATACATCAATGTCTTCATGTCACAGTGCACATGATATCATATGTCATGACACCTAGTGACACCTATGTGCATGCATGGCTGGAGGACAGCACTTGTACGCATATATATACAAAGCATGCTTGCAGAGCTCCTTGTGTATTGTGCCAATGGCTCCAAAATGCAAGTCTTCCATTGATGCTCTGGTGACCCATCACAAGCAGTACACCAGTTTGTTATTTATTCAGCACCATCATGACCATGCACAGAGTCAAGATCTCTTATTTGGATGACATGGCTTCTGGGACCAATCCGGAAGATGATAAGCCGCTGCCACAGCAACCACTCCCCAGTGTGCATAATGAGGACAGATGCACTGTGGAGCTGGATGGCTTCAATGAACCACTGCTGTCCCACCTAAAGGAAATGCAAAAATATGTCAACCATGCATGAGGATATTTCTATTAACCTTGCTCCCAGACACTCTGCACTTTGGCTTCAATCAAGCCTTCAACATGTCCAATTTTCTTGTATGGCATGACAATTTTTCATGTATGGCTTTTGGGCCATATTGCTGCATTCAAGTTCAGTAATGCCAACAGCACATGGCTGGATCAGGTATATCTCAGTGTTCATCCAATTGTGAAGGAGGACTCAAAGGTGGCAATGCATATTGCACAGACTTATTCTCTTCCAAAGCAGTGTAAGCAAATCGCTTCTTTGACTATGTGCATATATCTGATGGTTATTGTAGCATCTGAACTTAATCTGTGGGGTAGTGCAATCATGAACTGGTTCCAAAAATCATGGAACTCCCATTAACCAGCAAGTAATGTTATGTATGTACCAGGAGATGATTGACCTATGTGCATAGGCAAAAGAGTTTACATCAGTACATGATGCTACATTTGGCATGAAACAGACAAAGGACATGAAATGGTATGCGGCATCCTCACTGCAAAAAGGTGATTTGGTACTGTGCAAAATGTGAGTCTGCAAGAGGTATGATAATAAAGATGATAACTTACTGAAGGAAAAACAATCATTTGGTATCGCCTTTCAACTCCATGCCATATATTTTCTAGATCACATGTCTGATGCACCTTCTGTAGAGGAGACCATGTCATAATGATTCATGCACATGATGCTAGCCATGTGGATCTGCACCCTTGTTTTATACTGAACCATGCTGCAGCAGATCATAGACCGGCACAGGTGTATAAGGGCAAGACAGATTCACTCCATGTGCAAGGCTCTTTCATCCTATCCACCACACCTCATCATGGTTGCTCCAATGGATGAGCCCACTTCTGCACATGCACCCATACTGTATTTATACACTATCATACCATGTGCAACATCAAGCTGACTCATCAGCAGCACTCATGCACACTCTCCTGCAACCAATGTGGAAGACAACCCCACTGCTGACTTTGTGCATTGCATCCTGTCACTCCCAGACACTGAGCCAATTGACCTGCTCCAGTACAACCCAGCCAGCATCCCTGACTTTGGTCAGCTGGCCAAACTCAACAGCTTGGCTCTTGAGGTTGTGGAACTCCATGTCAAGCTCCACACAGCACATGATACAATCTTTTGCCAGCAATCTGTGATAGTTTTGCTGCACAAATTATTGGATGAGAGAGAGTCCCGTTAGGGCTATGTGCAACATCTTATTGTGTTCCCATGGGGGGTTGTTTTTGCATCAAGGAGTCATGTGAGGTGGCAATATGGTTAGAAGTCACCTGAATGTCTTTGCATTTGATTCCATTCTGTCAGCCACTGTGTGCATTGTCTCGGTCTCCTGTTCCCACATTCTCTGTCAATCATGTCCCAGCCCACTGGCAATCAGCCCCCTTCCTGTGGCTCAGGCTGTTCTAGGGCTATCCACATGCACTCCTCCAGCCTTAACGTGGGTTCTCCAGTATGTACTATTCTTGTGCAGACTCTGTGCATGGTACTGACTCCATTCGCAGGGTTCCCCAGATTCTGCTTCTACAAATCTTGCAGTAAGCACATCATGGGCAATAACCCCTGTACACTTACATAGGGCAGGCTCCTCATGGTACACAGCAACCGTTGTCAGTGTCTCCCGGTCATGCTGTTACCCAAGGTAGTGGGGAATGAGCAAGAACTGCCCATCCCATGTGCATGATCAATCCTCCCTCTATGGGATCAACCTCCATTGACAATCAACTCCTGATGCAGAGGATGATACAGTTTGGAGTCAAGATACAGGAGGCAGCAGAGGAAGAATGAAACTGTGCATGGTTTGTTTCACCAAATCTCCTTCATTGTTGCACAACCTTAGATAATGCGCATAATGCATCAGTATCCCTCCTATTAAGCACAATGCATGATAGTCTAATGAGAGTCAATGCACATGACAATTCATGAAGAATGGTTCCTTTGTATGCCTATAGGTACAGTTTGTCTGCTGATACAATAATTCAGGCCATCTCCATCTTCTTGAAATGAATGACAACCCAGTTAATCTTGTCACCAAACTGTAAAGACATCAGCTACAGGAACAATGCACTGAATGCTCTTACCCCTTCTGCTTTTGCATGCTCAGCTACCACAGTCACCCTCCACTTGTGCATGTTGGGCTCACCAATGTTCCTCTCATACATCTGCCACAAAGCCCTCTGTGCATGTTGAGACAGTGTGCATAGTCAGAAACAGAATGTACCTGATTGGATTCCCTCCACACCAGCATTGTTCCTGCATCCACACCAAGAAGATGTGCACTAGCAGAGCTGAATGCATGACACCAACATTCTTTTGTCCCATCCATGACTTTAAAGTTGAGGTGATACCTAACAATAATCAGTTAACCTATGTGCATGGTCTCCACAGCTCACTTAGGGCCTAAGGTTGGCACGTTTGCACCACACTGCTGGCAGCTGTAGCTGCCATCAGCATTCCTCCAGTCCAGCATTGGAATCTTGTTGCAGCTCTTGAAAGAACAGCCCAAGTAAATGTAATCTTTGCACATGGTTCCCAGGAGGATGTTTGCCTCCACTAGGAATGTTGCACAAGACAATTTACCCAGATTCTTCTCTGTTGCCCACTTGATCATGTGGGTTTCCATGGCCTTGATGTACTGGTGGTCAGCATGACCATTGGAGCTGTATGTTCCCATTATCATCTGCCACTTCTTCTTATCCTTACTGCCCTGGTGATGATACCTGCAAGAATCAGTCACAATAACCATGCACAATGTTGTACATACCAAAACAAAAGTGCCTGTGTAGCCACATTGTTGTACTTTGTCAGCACCTTAGTGTGCGCAACATCAGTCTTTAAGCAAGGACCATTCAGATAGCTGATGGCAGCAGACTTCACCACCAGCATGCAGCCTGGAGCAGCTTCAAAGCTGTGCACAGCATGATCCCAAAGGACAATGTGCATGCAGGTGAGGGAATTGTCCATGACCCACAGCTCGCAACGAGTGGAAGACGGAACAGGCTGATGACCCTGCACACAGATCAGTATTTGTGCAATGAATGTATAGAAATGTACCTTTGTTGCCTTTGCCCCTGCTAGTACCCCACTCTTGAAGAGCCCACCCATCCTGTCAATCAGGACCATGATATCTGGCAATGTCAACATAATGGGTATCTATGTGCATGGTTCAACTTACCCACAAGCTCACCAATGTCAAGATGTTCCACCATGTTAAGACAAGAAAATGAAAAAAAAAAATTCAGGAGCTCTGCAATGTTATCAACCTATCAAGGGTCAGCATAATGCATAGACTTTGCACATAACTTACCAGCTCCATGCGGGGGTGCTTCTTCCATATGAGCTGATATTGGTGTGCACATCATTTAAATGCTGGCATGTTCTCATCAATCCCTGGGTATGAGATATGATAAACCTATGTGCATCATTTAGTATGCATAATTGTATTTGATATCTCTTACCTTTCCCTCTTCAGCACCTGCAAAGTACACTGTGTCAACCCCCCAAGCCATGAACTCAATTTCCCCTGTCTGATCAATAAAGACATAAGAGCAACACTGGCTCTCTTTGCTGTTGGGGAGAGTGTGGGGCTTCAGGGGGTTCTTCTCATACAGGCAAGCATACAACACAACACTGCACAGAGTGAACAGTATATATGCGTGTAATCACAAAAAACTTACTGTGCACACTGATCTGCATGATCTGGTGGTGTGTCATGTCTTGCATGGTGTGCATATACATACCAGGAATGATGGATGTACCAAGGGCAGGTTCTGGAGGTGTTCTGACCATCCTTCCCATCCAACAACTTGCCATTCAAACCTCTGCACATAGTCAATCAGTCTGAGTGGAAGTGCAGAGTATTGCACAGGATATGACACTGCAAGGTGGCCATGCCAAACAGCCTTGCCCTGTCCAAGATCAGGAAGGTCAAGTATAAAGTGCAGCCACATACTCTTCACCTTGACCTTGGATGGCTCTCTTAGCTTCGCATAATCAATGATTTGAATAGCTCTGCACCTGTGAGACCAAACCCTGTGCACAGTTAATCTACATACCCATTTGTTGAGCCTGGAAGAAAGCCTTGTTTAAAAAGAAACACATCCAGCACCAACAACACCTTCAAATTTCCACTTCTCAACTCTGCCAGCATGCGTCTGCATGGTATGACAGCCAGCAATGCATCTGCATCTGCCATGTAAATGCTGTGCCATTGGTGAGCATACACTGCACATGGTAAACACAATGCAACTTACAGCCAATCAGCAGGTTGCACAGGCCAGTTTGTGTGTTGATCAAGAACCTGCTCAATCTGCAGCACTTGCAGCATGGCACTGTAGTGCTCAAGCTGGGTCATTGCCATCATGAACAGGGTGTTTGGCATGAGGGGGTGAGTAGGGTCCATAAGTGGATGGAATGTAGTCATGTTTAGATGGTGCGCATGGTGTGTCAGACAGTGGTGGTGGATCAAAAGTCAACCCCAACATAGTGGGCACCAGCACAGGAAATCAGGAGCTGTCTTTTTGCTTCCTTGTCACATCCGCACATGTGGTTGCCCAGGGGTGCATGGAGCAGTTGTCTATCATCATCCCTTGTTTACGGAGTCATGTCGAAATGACAGGATGACGTCATCGGGCTGAGTCATTCCGGGCACTAACCTGCCCAGTTCTCTCTTTCGCCTGCACCATCACATTGCTCACACCCAAGCAAGTGATACGTGTAAGGAGAAGAAGGGTGTAATCATACAACTTAATTTATTGATGCATTGTTTCCAAGCCTAGAAGACTAGAACAGGCCGTGTCTCTGTAGTATGACTCTTGGCAGCCAACATGTTGTGTCCTGGTCTGTGCAACTCTAAGCGCCCACGCCCCTGGGTGGCAGTTCACCGGGCGCCGACTGCGAACCTGGCCTTTTTTTTCCATTCAGTTATTCTGGCTCGGAGATGCGGTTGGTGTTGGGGTGGATACTGCAATAAAACAACTAGCTGGATCTACTGGAAATTATATCTGGCAAACCATTCTTGTCACAACGCATCTGTCATGTATCTGTCTCGCTGTGCAAACCACGGCCCCCGCCCAACTCCCCTCGCGGTGCTACACAATGATTGCTCAACATCCCGTCGTACGATGAGGCCTCTGATGCTCCTGGCTCTCCCCGCCCGGCGGCCGTGCTCTGTCTATGAACGTTTCTTTCAGTTCTCTCCTTCGTTGTTCGGTCAGCCCCAACCCTTTCAAACCCCTCTCGTTCACTCCTCGTCACTCCTCAGAACTCGTACATGCTCCTCACCTCCTCTACTCACGCGCAGTCTCTCGCTCTCCACATCCATCATCTAACGTGCTCCTCGTTCGCTTAACTTCCTATTCTTACCTTCCTCCACCGCAGTCCACCATGGCAGCGGTCTCTGGCATCCTTGCCGCTCACACGGCAATCATCGCTGCCGCCACAACAACCCAAGACTCTGGAGTTTGGCCCTACGTACCATCTTTCGCTGTTTCGTTCATCGCTGTAATCCTATATTCTATCGTTACCGCCTTGCTTCTTGCTTGCATGGTGCAGTACAAGGCTTGCTGGTTCGTTGCGTTGATTTTGGGAGTGGTGATGGAGACAATGGGGTTCGGGGCAAGAACACGTAATACCCAAGATCTGAACAGTACATTCCTATCTCCACCGTTCCTGGCCAGTTACTAATCGTTGTTGTCAGACAATGGCCTGTACAAGATGCAGCTCTGCTGTACCATCCTAGCACCCATTTTCACCGCTGCTGCAGAATACATCCTCCTAGGCCGGATAATGGGCTACGTGGGCGCGCGGTTCTCTCTCATACGACCGGCCTTGTCGCCTGGATATTCATCATCTCTAACGCGGTCAGTCTCGTGATCCAGGTCGGGGGTGCAGCTGCTCTCCTCGCCAAGCCGGACGTGGATTCCCAAAGCTCGCAAGCCACGATCAAACACGCCCAAGATCTCCTTAATTTGGGAGACAACATTCTGCTCGCCGGTCTGTGTGTGAACTTGGCCAGCTTCTTCGTTTTCGTTTTGCAGGTAAGCAGTTTGTGCCTCTGTTCTGGGCTTGCATTGACACAGCCAAAGGTCAGATACTTCGACTACAAAACCCGCCAAGATCGCTCGGTTGACGGCGCAAGCTCCTCTACGCCCTGTATGCCAGTACCGTCCTCGTCCTGATCCGGCAAGTCTATCGAGTGATCGAGTTCTCTCAAGGCTGGTTCGGCTATCTCCCGACGCACGAAGCCTACTTCTATGGCCTGGACTCTCTGGTGATCCTCCTCGCTTCAGCGGTGTATATCTGGTTCTGGCCCAGTAAGTATATCCCAGCGGACAAGCATATCCGCTTGGGACAGGACGGCAGAGAGTGGAGGGAGATGACACCCCGGCAGAAGAAGGTGCAAGCTCTCGAGGAAGCAGAGCGACGGAAGGACGGAAGTGGGGAGGTGAGCGTTCGCGAGGTAAGAGAAGAGGGGGATGTCGAGGCTCAGTAGTTGTACAGAGCGAAATCGCTTTCTTTCCTTGAAGGGGGGGTGTACGATTATTCGTGCGAGCGGATTGAGACACGAAAGATGCGGGAACCGGCTATCGATATCGGCGACCTCGACCCTCGCGCCGAAAGAATGCTAGGTCTTGCAACAGTACTTGGGTGCTGGGCATCATCTGGCGTAATAGACATATCAATAGAATGGGTTTTAACGTGTATACTTACCGTGTTGCCACTTGTGCGCGAGCACGCTTTCGTCCCTCTTCTGCAATTGTGCCCGTTTTCCCGCATGACGAGCAGCACCACAGGAAGCGCCAGTTCGAGCACACAGGACCATACCACACCGCCTGTAACTGTCCGAAATGACCTGCGAACCAATGTTAAGCAGGAACATTAAATATTCTAGTCCAAGATTCCAAGCCAGATGCCCTTGTAACGAAAAGTAGCATTCCTGTATCCCTGCATCATGCCATCCCTGCCAAAGTCGTCCCCAACCAGACCCGTACGTATATGTTGCCGCACACCCCGCTCGTCCATCGGAGCGCATAGTCGTACACCCCTCATCCGTCCACGCCTCAACGGCGCAAGTGCAGACGCACCCCCTACTACTCTAGATCCCCGTCCTTCACCTCCCTCACGCTCACCTCCCCACTGCTGGCCTTCCTACCCGCCTCCTCCAGCGCCTGAGCCTTCCTTTCCCTCTTAGTCATCTCCCTCCACTCAGTCCCATTCTCTCCCAAACGCATATGCCGATCCCCGGGAATATACTTATCCGGCCAATACCAGATATAGACAGCAGAAGCGAGGAGGATGACAAGCGAGTCCAGGCCATAGAAGTAACCTTCGTGCGTCGGGAGAAAGCCGAACCAGCCTTGGGAGAACTCGATCACTCGGTAGACTTGCCGAATCAGGACGAGGACAGTGCTGACGTAGAGGGCGTAGAGGAGCGTGCGCCAGGGGCCGGTGATGGCACATTGCGTACGGGTCTTGTAGTCGAAGTATGTTACCTGCCGGGGATGAGTGTTTGCGCAGGGAATGGAGTAGGAACGTACCTGGAGAACGAAGATGACAAAACTTGCCAAGTTAACAGCTAACCCCGCGAGGAGTACATTATCCCCCAAGTTGAGGAGGTTCTGCGCACGCTGAATCTGGGAAGGCGTGCTCTGGGAATTGAGATCCGGCCTCGCGAGGAGCGCCGCTGCGCCCCCGACTTGGATCAGGAAGCTCACAGCGTCGGAGATGATGAATATCCAGGAGATGAGGCCTGGTCTAAGGAGGGAGAAGCGCCGGCCGACGTACCCCATTATTCGGCCTAGGAGGATGTATTCTGCAGCAGCGGTGAAAATGGGTGCTAGGATGGTACAGCAGAGCTGCATCTTGTAGAGGGACTCGTCTGCGAAGGGGGGTAAGTAGGTGTTTACAGAGGGGGATGTGTGTTTGGGGGAGAGCGGGGGAAGGGACGCACTGTTTAGGTCTTGCGTGTTGCGGGCTCTTGCTCCGAACCCGAGGGTCTCCATGATCCCTCCTAGAATAAGGGCGACGAACCACCAGGCTTTGTATTGGAACATCCTAGCGATGAGGAGCGCCGTCACGAGGGCATACAGGATGACGGCGATAAGAGCGACAGGGAACGAGGGAACATATGGCCATACAGAGTTAGCGAGTCGGTGGGAGTTGGAGGATGTCGCCGTCGCTGTTGCGGCTGCTGCGAGTTTGGAAGTGAGGGAGGCGAAGGCGGATGTTGCGCTCTCGTAGTTGTACCCCGATGGAAGGGTGGTTGTGAGTGTTTCTATACCGGGGATCACGAATGTTACTACTGTGGGGGTTGTGAGGATGCCTGGGACTGTGGCGGACATGGTGGGCCAGAGGGGAAGAGCAAACGAAGGTGGGTGTGAGGAAGAAGGTGACGGCAAGGAGAGGACGCAAGGTTAAAAGGTGTATGAGGGCCAAGTGATATCGACATGGGGCAGCCGGCGGCCGGACACAGGGACAGCAAGAGACCATCGTGGGGAGGATCGTGCACATGGGCTTGTAACTCCATCTGGCTATGCTTGGCGATAGATTTCAGACCGCGGGAACATAGAAGGTCTTCCCAGAGATGAATTTGCTGATTCAGGCAGATTCACTCTAGATTAATAGGTTATCGTATTGCAATCAAAACAGCAGACAGACTTTGAGAGCAAGCGCAGTGCTAATAAATGGAACAAGTTCGGCGCCCGAAGAAACGCCATCAGAGTCGGGCGCACAAAGTTCACCGTGGGTCAGGAACGGGAATGCATCGCCACATCCGAAGTCAAAGAGGAAGCCCAAACAAGGAAGGAGCATGACAAACCATTTCTGGTCCTCACATTCACTTCAACTCGGAGTACTCCGATTTCAATTTGACCTTGCCCGGCCACCTGCAACTGCCCCAGTAAGTTCGGGAGTGCTTGGCACCAGACCATCTGACCTCCTATCCCGCCCTAACCCTAGCCCTCATCATCCCTGACCAACTCCGAGTCTCGCACCTGCGGACCGTCTCCCTCACATCCAAATTGTTATGAAGGACTGTAATTTCCGGATCTGGCGACTCATGTATTTTGAGCCTGCCTGCGCGCGCAGTGAGGAAGTTCGCTTTCCCCGCGTTCGCTCTCACCCTCATATCACAGTACTAGCTTGGCAAGGCGCGAACGTGTCTCCAAGTCCAACCGCAGGTTGTTTCACATCTTTCCCTCATGATAGTCGTAACCCAGCAACGTTCCCACTGATAAACAAATGGGCGCTGCGCAGGCAGCCTCGCTCAACCCAACGTGCTTATACGTCCGAATAAGGGAACTACCGAGGTAACCCCCGAGAGGCGGTGTTTTTTGATCGGCGCCGAATGCACTGCCACTGATCGACATACAACCCAGAAAGGAAACAAATCTGAGAAGCCGGAATTAGATCTGTGTCGACATCCCATTCCCGTCAGAAAGTACGAATCCTGGGCGGCAAGCACCGTCGTAGGGCCAAAAGCCAGCACGCGGATACCTACTAGATTCCAGGCGTGAAAAAACGTATATGCCGAACTGCACGTGATATGCCGAACTGCAGGGAAATGCCAAACTGCACGTGATAGGCAGGGGAAGCACGTGATGTATTTGGATTCATCTGTACAGCCCCTTTTCTGGCTCTGCCACAGGGTTCAGTGACCTGACAGAATGAATGAGGGAAGACACACAGGGCTCCGATCTGCGTGAACCCTGAGCACCTGCGGAGTCTGAAATAGTGCTGGAAACACCGCATGAGCACAGGATGTCATCCTACATGTTCTGTCTTAAATCACGTTGCCCCTGGTCATGTTTCAACTTGCTGCGGTTTTCAGTATATAAATGCTCACCATACTACAAACGATTTCCTCAGACAAGCTGGTTTTTTCTCACCCATCATCCCACATACTGATACACTCCTGCATTGACTGCAATTATTCGCGCTAAGTACCACCTTCACCATCAACGCAACTTTCCTTCACCATCAACGCAACTTTCCTTCACCGTCAATGCAACTTTCCTTCTTCCCATTACTTTCCAACATGTTCACCATTCGCATCACACCCGTTATCTCTCTGCTCGTGTTATCTTGGCTTGTCACCGCAGCACCAGTCTTGCAGACTGAAAATCAATGGCTCGCCACCGTGGAGGCAAGATCCTTCGACTAGTTGGATGTTGGGTATGGGTTGCGACACCTAGACGATAGAGACATCGACTTGCACGTGAGTCTCGTTGCTTTCTGCGAGAGAATTAGATTGATTGAACCCTACTACAGGACCACGAAGACTCTTCTTGGCTGGAATTGCGTACTCCCGCTGACACCTCTACGCCGGGCCCGTCAAACCAACCAGTGTCTGCCGCCGCCAACGCGGCTCGCCCCATGTTGGCTATCGCTGAACCGGTTCGCGCTGTGAAGCCTCCGTTCAATGAACCCAGTACAGCCCGTCCAGACTTAGAGTGGGAGTTGAATAAGGCGCAGAACAAGGCAAAGAAATGCGGAAAGTTTCGCAAAGAAGACGAGTAGACAGGCGAGGTCAGGTTACCGCGCATCCAAATTACTCCGAGACGCAAAAGAAACAGTCCGGCGTCGCCTAGCCATGAAACCAACAGGGAGAGCTCAGACGGCAGACGAGGTTCTCAGGGGTGAGGTGCCGACAGAGGGTTGGCAAGGCGACGGATGACCTCCTTTTGCATGGAACCAGGCAGAACCGATAGTCGCTGCAAATCAGCGATGCATTTATAGGTCCGGGTAGAAGTACACATGTCTCCTTGTACCTAGCCTGAGTCTTCCCTCCACTGGACTAGGATCATACTGTTAATCTCTACTTCTGCCTCTTCTTCGAGGCCTTTCCCCCGTACACCATCGCCTCCAACAGATGTCAATGTTTCCTTTTCCCCTTCCGCAGCAGTTCACGCGCTTGCTGGCTAAACGGCTGCTATACGAATGTCGACAATGGCGCACCTCAGGAGGCACTAGGGACAAGAACGGCTTAAAGAGCGTAGATATCGGCAAAGGCCGAGGAGGGTTGTACGTACCTGCACACGCCACGCGCCCTTCATAACAGAGCCCAGGTACGTCTGGCTAAGCAAAATACAACCCTGATCCTGAGCCAGCGGTATTTGGCTAAGACATGCTCGACAAATTCCGCTCGCGAACATCGGCAAAGAAGGCGGCCCATGCCGTTACCGTCGACTCCGGGGCTTCACAAGCTGCACAGGCATGTGGGGGGTGAGCGGCTGAGGGAGCAACTGGATGGAGGGTGGACAGCGAGCGGGATGGGGGATCTGAAAGGGAGAAGGGCGGGTCTTGCAGTAATATTGTTTGAGTGATAACAGAGAAGTCTTGGTTTGGGAGTGTGTGACTTTGTCGTTCCTGCGCTGCCGTAGTCATTTTATATCTTCCTCTCATTAGGTGGTTGCCCAATAATGTTTGAAACCGACTGCATCTGGGCTGTGCAAGAAGAGAGAAGCTCAACGCCAGCATAAGCTTTCTCAGATAGAAACCTGTAGCTAGTAGATGCATGACTTGCTGGAGGGAAAGAGGACGAACGTGGATGCGTTTTATGTACTGGTCGGACCGGAGTCCACCAGCGACCGTGTCGGGCATGCTGATGGTGGGGTTGGTGCCGGGGACGGCGTTCACCGGGGGGGACTCGTGGTGTCGAGCAACCTTCGAGCGGAGTACACCAGTAGTAGACCATCGGCGAGGCGGCACGAACAGGACGCCTCGCCGGGCTGAACGACATGGGGCTTAGACCAGAGCTGCAAGCAGGATTTGTACAAGAATACGTTGACAGCTGCTGGAGGGGATTGCTTACGAAGCCAAGAAGAAAGAAGAGACAGAAGCAGGCTGATGGTGCCAGAATCACGTAAACACCCTGTTACTGGGGATCCCCGAGTCGTTGGTCAAATCGGAGAGTTCTAATCGGCCGCTGTGTCCATCACCTTGATCGTCCACAGTAGTGCCACCACCCACTCCCAGAGCCCAGTATTAGGTCGAAAGATACTTTCACTGCATGCCGGCGAGGAAGACAAGGACGGCAGGCAGTAGTCATGTCATACTGAGGTACAGGTCTTCTCCTGCAAGAAAAGTTTCCCGAGGTTGCGCCTGTTGACATCAACGGAGCCGGGAGCGCTGCAGGCACACGCATCGGTTTTATTCGTTGAGATGGCTATCCTGAAAGTCAACCAGATGTTTAGAGGACACAGGAGGTAGCTGCGCAAAGCTTTTCTGCCAGCTGGCCATGCTTCGGATCTAGCGCTCTCGATTCCCGAACACAGCACACTCAACCGGTGTCTTGAAGCCCTTGACCAGGGGTGAGGAACGGTCCACGCAAGCCGCGAGAACTGAGAGAAGCATGCGCCTAGGTGAGGCATAAGTGGTGTGAAACCATACGAGGAATGGTGCTATGCCGTATTGGGTGGAATACATGATCGGCGTGATCGCTGCGAACAGAGCTTGCATTTAGGAGACGGAGTTGAACCCGACGCCGATCGGAGATGCTTAATGCGCACAAGTTCGAGACCTAAGGGAGGTTGTACATTCTTGTATCAGCATGCGTAGTTACCAGCACGACACTAACCAGCATACATTGCATCTGCATGGTATCAGCAAGATCAAAGCTAATGGGATGAGAGGCTGACTCACAATGCGACACATCATCATAGCCCATTCATTCCTGGTTCTCCACCAGTGCCAGCAAGCTAAACCCCACAACCCCGTCCTCCCCCGTCTCCAGAAACTGGCCCACAACCCTCCTCACCTCTTCGCTCATCAGGTCTCCCACTCCCGCCTGCCCGAGATCAACGGGCCCCTTGAGCATCCCATCCATCTGATACAGATGTCCGTTCTTCGCCGAGCGCACAAAACAGATGTAGTGGTGATCTACCTCGTCTTCTGCATCAGGAGGCGCGGTTTGGCCTTGTAGTGCTGCAGCTCGGTGGGCGGCTTCGAGCTCGGTGGAAGACTCTAGGGCGCGGGCGCGAGCAGTGGGAGGAAGAGGGATGACTTGCTGTAGCAATCGTGCTAGAGGCGAGTCGGGCTCTGGAAGGTGCATGAGATGGTATGATCGGTAGCTGGGGAATGGATGCACATCGATATCGCCTCGTGCCTTTCCGTTGCATACTGCATGTAGGATCGCATAGAGCCCGCAGGCGTTGCCGATCGTCTGCTGGAACCAGACCACCTCCTCTCCTTCTCCACATCCCTCATATTCCAGTATATTAGCCTGATCCTTCGCATATCTCACAGCATAGTCTCCAAAGTCCGGGAAAACGAGTATAAGGGCAAGGACGGGGCGGGGGACGAAAGCAAGCAGGTCGGGATCGGTGAGCGAAAGGACGTCCACAAATCCGAGCGACCGGGAGGCACCCAAGTTGTGAATGAGATTGGTGAACACGTCGGGGTCAGATTCTAGAGGTACATAATGTTTTTTCTGGTATTCTGATTGAGGATGTCCGTCGTTTGTCGCCATCGTTAGAGAGACGCGTCCATCATGTACGATGTGTTCCCATCCGAGCCTCACGGTTCACCGCAGTGTTTGCCATTCTCCATCCCCCACGTCAAACATACTTTAGATGATATTGGTAAGCATTCTTCTGTTTGGGATGTCGACGATAGGAAGGAGTAATCTCCAGGAGGGTGCTAGGGATATTTCGAAAAAAAAACCACACACAAACACGAACGTGCGTAAAGGTAGTAGTTATTCATGCACTAATTATGCAATTGTCATCATGTGTTTTCAACTAATCATAAGAAACAAGATATATCGATGGCCAGAATGGTGAGTAAATATTGAACGCGTACTCACTCAAGAGCACTCTCTGCGCCGTTCGTGAACCCGAAACTTTCCGTTTGTACCCTCTACTTTGTGCGATGGACCAGATTCTTGATAACTCCGAACTTTCCGCCAGACGCTTGCTGGGCATCATACTTCTCTTGTGCCATCTGGTCGTGCTCGAAGTCGTGGAAGGGGTTCATGGCATACCACACAACACACGCCATGCCGATGAGCGCAGAAAGAATGCAACCAGCCATGGCACCCTTGGCTTTGGTAGTCCAGCCGAACAGATAGTATTGTGTGTACGGGCCGAGGGCCTGACCGGAGAAGTCGGTCGTGGAGTTCTTCCCAACGACGTTGCCAGAGGGAGGGATGCCTTGCATCGCGCACTGATCGGAGAGGTACTGCGGGATTTGGATCGTTTGTTGAGAGACCAGCGGAGCTTCGGCGAAGATGACCGCGAGACCTGCTTCAAGATGCCACTCAATGTGACAGTCTGGAAAGTGCATATCAGCACGTGTGTCAAAGCAGGAAGGGAAGGACTTACGGAACATCCAAGTACCCGGGTTATCGGCACGGAAACGCAGGTTGACGGACCCACCAGCAGGGATCATGATGGTGTCACGGCGAGAAGGGTTCGCCTGGCCCTCAACGAGGGGCTCGTTAACGGTCGGATCGTCGGACGTGATATCCTGCGACATTGCGACGACTTGGAACTTGTGACCGTGCAAGTGGACTAGTGTAAGGTGAGGGACAAACGTTTATCTTTCGAAGGACTGCTTACAAGGATGGCTGTTCGAGTCCGAGTTGTAGATGTAGAGCTCAATGTTGTCGAGATGGTTCAACACGAAAACATTCGTCTGCTGACCGTAGACCCGGGGAAGAAGCGCTCCCTGGCCCATCGTCTGCTGCGTGAACAGAGAAGGAACTAAGGGCGAGATGTAGGTGCTCTGGTCAGGCAACAGGGATGCTCGGTTAGTTCCATCGTCGTATGTATCAAAAGCAATCGTCCAGTTATAGCTGACATCGGCAGGAGCCATAGCCTCAGCTTCGAGCGGTACCAGCAGGTTATCCCAGAAAGTGGGGTATTCATCGAAGAAAACCATGTCCTGGGTGGGAGCGCTCTCGCTGTACACAACGGTAGCCGTGATGTCTGTCGCATAATCAGGAATACCATCATACGCATAAATGAAGGATACTCACTAACAATGGGTGCCAGCGCATCTGGAACAGTGTCAAACATCTCCGAGTCCATGTTCATGGAAAGCGGCCAGTTGCTCGAGGTGTCGTTCAGGGCCGTAACAAGGACGGAGACCCGCTGCGCAGCTGAAAGAGGCACGACATCCACAGGAAGCGGCTCTGTTTCAACACCATCCAGCTCGATGATAGACATGTTGTGCCCTGGGAGCGCAATGTTGAACTTTGTGAACGCTGTGAAAAAAGTAAGAATCAAGGTAAGATATACTCCAGAACAACTAACCCGACATGCTGACGAAACGAAGACGGTAGGTCTTGCCGGGCTCGAAGTTGAGGACGCCGTTGTTGTTGCCTCCAGCGCTAACAGTTTTGCCATTACCCATCTCTGCCAGAGAAGCCGTATAAGACCCATTGACGGCGATATAGGCGATCGCTCCGTCTGGGCATTGTTCCGGATTAGGAAAGTCGCCTGCCTAATTGGGAGAGATGGCTCACCTGGAACTGGCTCTGCACCCGTGGGATTCTGTCAGAATAGAACGTCAGTCCTCAGAACCTCGGGGTAGATTCCAGAAACCTCACGTAGATGTTCAAGAACTGGTCGATCAGGACAGAGTGTAGATCATGATACCTATGCCACACGAAGGCTGTATTAGACTTGATCCAGACGCGTGAGAATATTCTCACCAATCAGCCATTCCAATGGTGTAGTCAGCGGCATATGAGTAAGTCTCATTTTGTGCTAGGATGATGAAGGGTGTTCGCAGTCCGTCAACATATTGGCCCTATGTACCATCAACACGCGTTGAAAATACATAGAAAATTGGCTTACGCCATAATGTCCATGGATCCAGTATGTACCAGGTGGCTGAATGTCAGTAGCAATCTGGTAGACCATTCCCTGCCCAGGCGGGATAGGGCTACGAACTTTTAAGTAAGCGAATATACAAATCAAGACGGCGGGTTTACCATTGTGTGACCATCGTTGCGCCGTCGAAGTATGCTGTTGTGTTGAAGTACATGCCGTGGGTGTGAAGACCAGTACCGACATCTGGCAGACCATTCGTGACATGTATGCGAAGGGTATCGCCCTGCATGATTTGTACGATGGGAAGGCTGAGGCACATCAGCTTGGATTGTGGACTTTCTGGAGGAAGAGACCCACGGCCAGGTGCCATTCACACCGATGACTTGCCGTGACTGCTGTCCATCGGGGTTGGCCGTAGCATACGAGATGTTCCAGTACACATCGACAAAGGCTGCCTGAGCGGCCGCGACCAGGGAGGCGGCGACGGCGAGGGAGAGTGATGTGCGCATCGCAAAGAAGGTACACAAGGAAGGTACCGGGGAGGAGAGGGAAAGAGGAAGGAAAGGGGGGAACCCGGAGTGGGAGGGACGGATGGAGCCGCGTTTTATCTCTCTTGTCTGATATGATCTGAGGATCGCAAATGAGCCCCGAAAAGTCTTCGGCCTTCCCGGTCTTCCGGTCTCGGCATCAAAAGCATCCGGATAAGATGTGGGAAGGTACCTAAACCCGAAGCGCCGAACATTCATTGGAATTTGTGGTGGAGCCCCCTCCCTTCGGCGGAAGCCGAATGTTGGAGCAGCGGGCTGCGCCGGATCTTTCCGTCCATTACGGCCATGTCGTTCTGATCCTGTGGAACCTCAAGCGACATGCTTGAGGCATTACTTCGACGTGCCTTGACCTGCGAACCAAATAGTCTTGGGATCGAAAGAAGAGGGTTTAACGGCACCTTTTGGAGACACAAGAAAATTTCCGTGTGGCCACGCGTTTATCAGCTTCCGCTGTCAGCTGCCGGGGCCCCCGGTGGGGGCGAAGGACGGAAAGGCTGCCATTTATCGAACGGCCCGTTTCGGGAAAAGAATACATATAACCCACACCTTTTGGCAATCCTTGCAAGACGGGATCGAAAGGTCGGCAGCCCGGTGACAAGATCGAAAAACAATGGTAGAAGTGCGCATCTATCCGATCTCGAACGATGGCATCAGCCTCCTTTAATTACCTCTTTAAGAGCTGTCCTCGTGCACTGCTCAGGTGGGGACGAAGCACCTACCGCCCGTAACGTTCGATGGCCGCATACCTTCCGCAGCGATAATCTCTCACTCCCAGGGCTTGGGGGGCCCGTCGGATACAAGTTGTTTGCCGCCCTCACCATGGTGCATTAAAGCCCCTTGAAGTCCGGGATGCTATCTCAACCGACATTGTGCCACGCAAGGCAATGGAGCAATGCCGGCTCGTTGTTGCTCAGGCGAGTTGCGGATCAAGCGCGTTGATTATCGGGAGAAGGGAGGGGAGTACCAAAGAACGAGGCAGCTACGCGGTGACCGCACAGAACCATCGATCACCGTGTTGAGTGACAACCCTTTCATCGTTTGATCATGCAACTGACATTCGCAAATAGCACCAAAAACAACGCACTTGGCAATTTGAACTCCTCCGCCTTCAATGGAATGGTAAAGGGATCTCTGAATATTGACGAAGTGTTCTACCATCTTCGCGATAAGATAAAGTAATCCATCTTTCAGGGGCACTTGGAACTTTGACGCGGAGGGACCGCATGGATCGGCATTAAAACCGAAGTTCTTGGCTTCCACATGTGAATTCCAGGACCGGAACGCATTACGGTCCCTGGTCCGAAAGACTAAATTAGGGCGGAAGCACGTTGCACCTGCATCATACACACGCCCAGCTATTATTTATACACTGGTGCCCTAATTATACAAACAATGCCGACTGTAAACCTATGGTCCGAGGAGTTCCCTATCCTCCGTTCCTCCTCGGATCGTTTGGTAGCCTACCAATTTGGGCGTTCTTCCAGCGGCTATAAAGGTTCTCAGCGGCAAAACGGCATAATCTACCGGCACGTCAACTTACAAATGATGCCCGCAACCTCCTGGAGGGCGACCTGCAGTTGGCAGTGAGACCGAGATTCTTACTCGCTGATGCACATGCTTACAATACATGTTGTCACAACCACCGCTCTTCTCCACCTACGAACCAAAGTCATTTACGAACGGCATTATGCGAACAGCTGCACAGACCGGTGTCTTACACTTAGGACAAGCCCTGGTCGTCTTCTCAATAGTTGCCCTGGTTCGCGACTGCATTTTGGCAAACGGCTTGGTTCCCTTGCTTTGCTCGTATTCTTGACATGACCGGCCCTCGTGCCACAGGACATCATGACGAAAGCAAGACTTGGTCCCGCATGCAAAGCAGACAACCAAGTCTGCATCTAGACATGGCTCCTGCATCCAACCGACCAGACCAAGTCGTTTAGGCATATCTGGTATGATATGGAATTGCCCCCCTTCGCATGATGGGTTTTTGCACCACACGAAGCCGGGCTGATTTCCAACAGCCTTCCGAAGCAGAAGACGGTCATAACTACATTCAGTCAGCTCATCACATGTACGCAAGGGGGATGAATGAACTGAACGAACCGAGCAAAGGCTTCTTCGCTTGCTGTCCTCTGAATGTCCTCGTGCGAGAAATCGTGGCGACAGCTCGGGCAGAGTGGGGCGATTGTACCGAGCTCACTCAACCGCACGTCAACATGATGTCGCATGCACTCCTCGCAGATGTTAACTTCATGCTGGCAGAATTTGTCGGAGGTTTCTGGCTGAACCGATCCGGTTCCAGCGCCTGAATACAGACCGTGCAGGTTTTCAGGCGGGCGTCTACTTGCGCACTGAGCGAACAGGTTCAGAACAGTAACGATTACCTTACCTTGCGTTGCAGCTATCGCTGGGGTCGTAACAGACGTTGATCGAATGATCGAGGGCGTCACTAATGGTAGTGGAGGAGCCAGTGGGGGGTGCAAGGCGGCACGTCTACGTGCGCGAAGTACGCCGTAACAGCGACACGCAAAGACGATAATGAACAGTCCAAGGATTAGGAAACCAGCGACCGCCGACCAGCTTTGTTTGTGTCCATTAGAAGAGCTGGAGTAACTATGAGCGCCGTCTGCATAGGTAGTGCACACAAACACGTACTCGGAGGAAGCGGTGTTGTTTCTTCTCACCAAATGATATTCGTGCGCTGGGCTTGGTACGTCGACGAGTGTTCTTGGATGGAATGTCGGTGACATTGTAGATCGCCAAGGTCTGAAGAGGGAGCGTCTAACTGTTTGTCGTAAGTGGAGATCTCGAAGGGAATCCACCAAGTGTCATATTATGATGGTGCACCTAAGCTGGGTGGTACCAAGCCCCACAATTCCGCTTTCCCGCACCGGGTAATCGATGCCCTTGACCAGAGATTAGACGCCGGAAATATGGGCGAGGTCGGGACTGCTGGATGGAGGTCGAGTCCATAAGCAGGATCAGAGTTCACTTCTGACCACGCAGGCAAGACAGAATAGGAGACGATAAGCATATGTTGCGGTGCCAGCATGTACCTGATCTCCGCACTGCATGGCTTCCTTTGCACGAAGCACATTTCCGAAGGCTGTGCATTTCGGAGCCGAGCAGATCCGGCAGGCGCTTGTTTGCGCGAGCTTACCTGCGACGACAATATTATATGCATGAGATTATTATTACGATGTACGACGAGACACAGAGGGAAGATCGATGTTGACATCCTTGTGGTTGCTGCTGCTGACATCGCCTCCTCGGTGCCAACGAAAGAAAAGATGATCGTAAATTGATATCAAGAATGCAAGAATGTCCGACAAGACCAAAGGAATCTACTGATGTTGACATCCTTGTCGTTGTTGCCGGTGAAGCCGCCTGGGTGAAGGTAGAGGTACGGTTGGTGCGGTTGAGATTGTGTTTGTGTTGGTGATTCGGCGATGATAGGGATAATAAGTACAAGATTGCTTGTGCATGTGGTTCCCGCTTCTGACAATGGGGCCGTAATCCGCAAAACACAGCCAACAACTGATCAACACAGTCAGCAATGACATGCGATCGAGAGTAGTCACTTACAATTGAAAGCCGCAACCTCCAGGAGGTCGACCTGAAGGGCTCTTATCAGCAGAGAAACGTAGTACGCTCGCATAAGAACTCACAAGTCATATGATCACAACCAGATATCTTCTCAATCTAGCCATTCCATTAGGTACCAGCGTATGAAACGGATGAAGAAACTCACGGGTGCGTTACACTTCGGGCACTGTTTCGTATTCTTCGAAAAATAGGCTTCGACAGCCGCTTCCCGTCCCTGTTTGTCCATCTTCCGTTGATCGTATTGTGCACAGGTCAGCCCTTCGTGCCAGGGAGCATCATGGAATGAACAAGCTTTGCTGCCACATTTTACGCAGGTGATGATGACCGAACCCCCTTCTAAACCTCTGAGTGAGACAATAAGAGGTCGCTTAGGGAAAAAGTGCGAACCAATGCCGTCGTGAACTTGACCTGAGTCGCATTTCGGGTTCTTGCACCAGATGAAATTGGGGTCAGCGCCCAGATTCTTGCGCAACAACAGCGCGTCGTATCTGATAAGAGGCTCAGGAATGCCAAGGTTTCACTTGAGACGGGATCGTACCTCTGAAACACGCGAGAACGGGCATACCGCTTGACCCGATGATAGGAAATTTCGGCACGGCATTCCGGAACGGGACAAAGGAGACGCGTATTCCCGAGCTCTTCTATCTGGTTCTTCAAGTACTGGCGAACACAACGTCGGCAGACGACGGAAGAGTGCTGACAGTTAGATGCGAGCTTGTAACGCGAGTACTTGTCAGTGGGCAGATCTTCGGCGCAGACTTGACACGTGTGGATAACCTCCGTTTGAGCAGGTAGAAATTGGGTCGGCGATGGGACGCCCGGATCGGAATGGGATGTGCTAGGACCGGCACGAACATTCCTGGTGTCAATAGGGAAGGTCGCAGGCGGTGCAGTTTGGAGTGGATGAGATATAGTGCTGATCTTCGGCGGCCGTGCAGGTAATTTACCTTCGACTGAGTCTGAGTGCGGTGGCGGAGGAAGTGGTAGGGAGGAAGGAGGGTGCGGGTGCGGCAAAATGGGCGCATCTTCGGTCGCGTGACTGCTATCGCCTGAAGAGCTCGGCGCTGACATTAGTCCGGGTAACGTGCCGGGCATCGCGGTCGAGAGGGTGATAGGATTTTGGTTGATCCTTGATAGTGCCTGGCTGAGAAACTACTCGGATGGCGGGAACGATGCAACTCACAATATCTCTGGAATGAGCGGCTTGGGTGGGATGGTAGGAAGCGGAATATCGAGCGTATGCAGGCATCCTGAGGATGGACAGAAGGGTTGATCCTTCGGCCAGAAAACGAGCTGAAACTGGATGTATTCAGAGAGACAACTGGAGCAGATAGTGGGTGGATGGACGCAGAAAGGAGTCGGTGGCTTGGGAGGGAACAGAGTGCTAGTATCCCATTTCGAGCAGATCTGGCATTGGTGCGGATAGCGGGGAGGTGTATCGGAGAATAGACGATATTGACCAGGTATACGCATTTGCATAGTAGTGGTCGACATTCCTGGCAACAAGAAGTTGAAGATGCTCGTGGCAGAGGGGATCAGGCCTCAGCTGGGAAGGCAGATAGGCCGCCGTGCTAACACATGCTCGTCACTGATGGAGCTTGAGCTATGGATTGCGGTGCACCGGAGATTGCCTGTGCTTGGTTTGTATGAACCCGGAATTGGGAGTGTATGTCGTGTGCAGGACGCTACATATGAGGTGGCGCGCCATTAACACTGCCTGACGTGTCGCAAAAAGGCGCTGTCTTTGATGTGTGAAGTACCCGAGAAACGCGGATGGACCCTTTATACCCCTGCATCCCCTGCAGCTTGACGTATCAAATCACCCAGAAAATACGAATCCTGGGCGGCAAGCGGCCAAATGGCCGCTTTGGCCGGCGGCTGTGCTCATCCTCTTTACGGTAAACTGGGAGTCAAACGGGATATAACTGGGCCAACCCGTCTCAGGCAGCAAACCAAACAGTGTAAATGGCATAACTGCTATAACTGGCTGAACTGGGTTCCAGCCGGCCACACCTCAGATCTAAGTGGACATCATGCTACTATCTGAACTTGTGCAACACTTGACAATAAATATTGCTCAAGTTGGGATGATCCCTGCTCAATCCTTATGGGTGTTTGCTCTACTTGTTCATCAGTGGCAGCCTCTCATTGCTTGGCTCCACCAACCCAACCTGGCACAGCTGGACAACCCACCTGCTACACTCCCCACTTGTATTCTAGATTTGCTGGCAGTTGTTCTTTTTCTGGGACATGACACACTTAGTACTCTTTGGGAAGTACTGTCTCCTGTGCTGTGGCAGCATGGTTGGTTTGGACATCAACCCTCCCCAGCCATGTTCAATGGGCTGCAGCCCATTCTCGCACACAGTGCCTCACATTACTTAGGTTCACATCTCACCTGGTTTCACTGTTGATGTCTTAACTTATCTTCTAGGCAGTGAAGAATTTTTCCTGCCATTCAGAACATGCCCAAAGGTCTCCTGTCCTTCTTGTCCAAGATTAGCCAATGCTCATCAGCACCCTGCATCATTGCTCACTCTGAATCATGGTATTGTACCTGTGTATGTCAGTTCCTTGGCATGTAAAATTATGTGGCACCTTTCATATCACTTATAGAAGACCACCTGAAAGATTTCTGAGATTGTGGCTCCACTTTCTACCTCAATTATTGCCTGCAACATGATCCTGATGGCATTGAGCACCATCATTACTACTCTGGCCAGCCACATGTCCTGCAGGCAGAGCCCCATATTTTGGTGGAAGCATTTGTGGCATTATTATTTAAAATGCAATTTGTTCATGCTCAGTAAGTTCTTTTCCTTCCATTTCATGTGAACTGGAAGGGGAGTTTTTAACCAGATTATGGGCTGGTTATTTGGGCTGGGTGTAACCAGCCATCAACCAAGCAATAATGTGGCTGACAATCATTTGAACAGTTCCAGTGCCCATGCTATTGCAAGAATATATGAATCAGCACTACCAAGGCCCTCTTTGTCAATTTTGTCTGTGTTTGTTCCTCCTACGCTCTGACCAGAGCATGTTTGGGACACATTTTTCCTTGATTCCCTTCTTGAACATCATGCAGAGCAGGGAACTGGCCTGGTGCTTCCGGAACACCTCTCTGGATGGCAACAAATACAGACTGACCAACTGACACATGCACTCTTGGAGAGAAATGCTTTATGGCAGGACATGGCCAAGAATTCTACCCCCATGCATGTGATGGCTGCTTGCACGTGGTATCTTGCGGTGGTCAACAAGGTATGTGTTGAGGTGGTCATGTGCCAACTCTAGTGCACTGACTCACTTTCAGCTACCATCCATGCCACAATTACAGATGGGGTTGCCATTGGTTGCCTGTGTTGCAGTGTCCACAATTGCCACACCCTGCTCACATCCACCTGCAATTGCTTCTGTTCCCAGCATCAAGATTTGAACACAGTATGTGCAGTCACCAGGTGTCATCTGAAAGCTTGAGTGGATCATCTCACCTGCTCAGATCCTCAGCACATTGCAGCAGAGTCTGCCAATGATGAGAGGGGTAAGTCCATGTTTAGGTTGGCCCAATGACTCTGGTGGACAACACAATGACAAACTGGCCTGACCAGTGCAACTGGTACAACTGGCCCATCCCCCAGTTTGAGAATGGGCCCATCCACCCTCTCTATGACCTCTACCACTTCTGATCCCTCCACTCTCTTTGAGACCCTGGAGGACCTGGCTGGGGAGGAGGTTATTCTGTGTGATGGCAAAGATGTGGCTGGCAATGCCAAAGTCAAGGGGAAGTTTGGCCACTCCTGGACCTACAATGAGCAACTTATTGTCTGGCCTTGTGGTATCATCATCTCCAGGGCTACTTTCTATGGGGCCAAGGTGATTTCTTCAGTTGCAGTGAGTATCTTATCTTACAACTATGTCACAACAATTTATGCCACCTTCCCACAGGACATGCTGCATGCGGTCTTCCCCACTCCAAATTCTGTCCCCAACATCTTGTTTTATGACAACAATTGTCATCTGTGCTGACATCTTGTAGCACAGCAGGACACTCATTTTGCTTCAATGGGACAACCAGTAGATGTCTTTCATTTCAAATCAAAGCACAGTGAGAAGGACAAGTACTGCAGCCAACACTGCAACCTCCTTCTTTTTCCAGATATTTACAATGCCATGTTGAAAACTTGGTACTTCAGCTCCTCTGCTGCAGAGCAAGCCAATGTGTGGTTCAACAAGTACCATGGTATAGTCCATGACATGGTTGCTGTGTGATTTGATTTCTTTCTTGATGAGATGATCAAGGAGTGCAATAGGTTTCTTGTCACATACTTGGCTCAGCAAGGCAAGCATCCTCATCTCATCCCCCTCGATTGGCTGCTGTTGTAAATGCAATGTATTGAATGACATAGTCTGCTTCCCATATTAATCTTTATGGCATGCTTCCTTTCCACAGAATTTCAATTACTCAGTTTTTGGGTCCAGTTGTCCCAGTTAGCCTCTGGTTGCAACCCCAGTTGGGCTGGCTTCCATTTCAGCTGTATATTAGACTGTATTGTTCCTAACACTTGTGGCACACAGCCCTGCAGGGTTTGTCATAATTTCTTTCTGCACAAAGTCTAATTTTTTTCCCATAGAAGCCAAGTGGTCTGCAAGTACAACATCTGCCCACTGCACTGGCCTGCACTTATCCCTGCTTTCAACCATGGCTCCCAAGGTGCCTGCCAGATTGATACAGCTTGACATTTTCAGGACACAGTGCCTGCAACAGTACCTCACTGCCATCATGCATGATCAAATGACATACCCTCTGGATGACATAGCATATTGGTGCTGCACTCAGTGCAATGTTCAGAGTCAGTGTTAGCAAGTCACCCAACAATTGGGGCTGGTTGTACACCAAGGTAAGTCACTGTGCATGTGTAGCTTTGAGTCCAATGCTGATCTTTGGGCAGTGTTGCAACTGCCATTATTATGTCTTCTTGACACCTCCTCTAGATGCAACTCTTGAAGCCACCCTCAAAGAGCTTTACTTTGCAATCAATGTTGGTACAACCCCTTTTGTCAAGCTTTCAAGTGCCCCTGTGCCTGCAACCCCTACCAAGGGGAAATCAACATTGCATCTTCTGGCACCTGAGTTGCCCCAAGACGTCTACTGGCATGATCCAGAAGATGCAACCCCCCATTTGGCACCCAACCTTGATAATAGGAGGTTGACCACCAGCACACTGACACCATCCAAGGAAAACAGGAGTCAAATGTGCACACAATGTGGGTGCTCACGAGCGCATGCCAAATGCCCCTGGCTGCTCTGCAAATCATGCTGTGAGAGTTCAGTTAGAAGTGCCAGTTTGCCCGGTATCTGCCCAGTTCATGGGTCTGCTGGGAAGCCTTCTTGTAAGCCCTCCTTTGTTCACAGGAGAAATCTAAGGACCCATCAGGCAATATTGGACACAACACTCTGAAGCAACCAAATTTTGCAGGTGGTACACTGCACACCCTGCTCAGTGCTGTGTTGTTGGCCAAGCAGAGCCCGGTGGCACCTTGGACCCCCATTCAAAATCTGTCTTCTCCCACTCCTGTCTCAGTGGGAAAAGCCATGCCTGCAAGCTGGGGCAGAACTTGGTTGGATGCTAGAGTGACCTGAGAAGAAACCTTGAGGAAGACAGCAGACAAGCAGGATCAAGCACATGCCTTGATGTGTCTGTTCACAGTGGTTCTACTGCTCCAGGTGTGTAACAGCTGTACTTTGATGAGATTCTTGAACCAGTTGAGCTGGTTCATTCATTCATTGGGATGTCATTGACTTAGCCTGGTTCAGCTGGCTGGGTCCTGGTTGTGCCGGCTTAGGCTGGTTCAACTGGGCTGCCAGTTTAGTTAAACTGGACACCTTCATTCTTTGTTAGGGCAACACAGGCTGACTAAGTCTGCTCACCTAAGAGTGCCAAGAGTCTAAGCAGGCAACAAGGAAGTGGAGTAGACCTGATGACTAAGACCTATCTACAGTATAGGTACTTGTGGATGATCCTAAGAGACCAAGTCTGAAGAGACAGTCCCCAGGCAGAGTAGGCCTTATATTTATACC